AACGTTATTTTTAATACCTCGACACGTGTTTCAATATCTATAAAAATCAGAAAAACATTGATTTTAGTTTTTTTAGATCGATAAACTCCGCAAATCGTAATATTGACTGATTTTCATAGCGACAAATGATATATCTAAGTTTTAAGTTTTCATTAGTTTATAGTGAATATGATTTCTAACAAATATTTCAACTCCACCTCCACTTTGCTTACGACAGGAAAACCCTGCAGAAAAACCTGGGAAGTTGTAGCACTTCTTTTCTTCTTCTTTGATCTAAGTTTTAGTTAAAATAACAATATCTGCCTTTATATCAGCTATGATTATTTTTACCTATTGTATTTTGTTTTGAGAAATACTTTAAAGTTCTTGTGTGAATCGCATTTGTAATCAAAGTGTGAGTTATATTTGTAATCTTTCGTGTTGTGATTCATAAATTCAATTTTGAAAATTTATTCGAAATATATTGAGTTTGTCAAAATATATAAATGACGCACACACATCTCTGTCAGTTGCCATATGGCTAATTGAAATTTTGTTTTGTATGTTTCATTAGCTCTGTGGCAGTTACAGCACTTTTTTACTGTCAATTTAGTTACAGCACAAAAGGGACACCTGCTATTTCTACAATTTTTAGAGGAATGATTGAACTCGCACTGAGTTATACGATTGTTTTTGTACACTCTCATGACTGTTGCAAATACTGTATATCTATTATTTGTTTCAATTTTCGTTAAAAATTCAATTTTGAAATGATCATTTTCTCTAATTTAATTTTGTTTGTTTTATTTGATACTCCAAATCTTCTTTCGTTAACAGCTCTTCAAATTCAATTACAACTATTTTAATAATCGATTTTCTCAATAGTTTTTCTTTTATGGTATAAGCCTTTCTCAACTGTTTTGAAATTTCTTTTTTCAATTTGAAGGGGTCTTTTCACTTTCACATTCAATTTTGACATGCCCATTTTCTAAACTATACATTTTATTGATTTTTACTTCAAGCACTGCTGGATTTTTTTTCCAAATCGCTCAATCTCTTGAGCACATTTTGGTTTTATTGAAATATCATTTGTTGTGGTATCCCATATTGGACTTCAAGACATCAGAATACCTGGGTTTCAGGGAAGAAATTTGATTTTCCAGTTCAGATATTTTGTTTAATGCCACACTAAGATTATCTTCATTATCTCGGTCTTCCTGATGGAGTTGTTAAATATACAGGGTGGGCCATCGAAAACTTGACATGGAGGTTGTGGGTACTAATCTTGCAGACAGATCAAGTTTTATTGGGAGGGGGAATTTTTTTCCCACTTACAACGTCGTCACCTCAACCCCGGGGCAGAGGGGTGAACAACCCTTGGAATTTTAATGGGGAATTCTCTAAACCATAGTGTACATAGTGTAAATTTGGAAGTATTCAAAAGAATTCTTTCCGATAATTAACTTTTTCAATATTGTTAATAGCAACAAATTGATGTACGTCACTGCTCAGTTGGAATGTATTTGGAACTGTTTCATTTGTTTCTTGCGCTACTTTCTTGCAAATTTCAGTTCTTCTCTGATAAGAGGACTATTACAATTGAGAAATGGTTAAAAATGCTGTTTGTATTTCTCATTTTCTCATTTCATGTTAAAAATGATATCTACGTTATTACTAGTACGGAGTGCCGTGAAGTGGTTTACACAACTGCAGAAAGGGTTGAGTTGATTGAACTGTACTATGGAAATAGACGTTTTGCTGCGAGAGCCGCTGAACTGTTCAATAACAAAATGGGAAGAATGTGTCGCGACAGTATGTTTTCGATTTAATTGCAAAATTTCGCGCAACTGGATCTGTAGCAAATAAAAACGGCTAATCGAACCACCAGTAACAAATGAAGCGACACAAGTGGCAATTATGGGCCATGTTGAGCTTGACTATACTTTGACCACAAGAAAGTTAGCATTTGTTTCCGGAGTGTCATAAACTAGCAGTCGGCGTATTTTAAAAACCAAAATAATGCAAGAACTGAATGAAGATGATTTCGATCGACGCTTGCAATTTTGCGAGTTGGTTAGTGAACGAGCGGAGGAAAATCCACATTTTGTTTTCAACATTTGCTTCAGTGATGAATGTTCTTTTTTTCTAAATGGCACAGTTAATCGCCATAATTGTCGCTATTGGACTGATTCAAATCCTCACTTTTTTCATGAAGTGCATACTCAAAACGTCCACAAAAATCAAATGTATGGGCTGGAATTTTTGGTGACCGTATTATTGGCCCATTGTATTTAGAAGGCAATTTAACCAGAAAAATGTATCGGGAGCTTCTGGAAGATACTATTAATCCCCTTTCCACTGACATTATTGAAAATGACTACAATTGTCGGGAGGATCTGTTAATGTTTCAACAAGATGGGGCTCCTCCGCACTATGTTCTGTCTTTTCGGCAGTATTTAGATGAAACTTTTCCGGACCACTGGGTTGGGAGGCGGGGCACTATCGAATGGCCACCAAGATCACCAGACTTTTCGCCGTTAGATTTCTTTCTGTGAAGTCATTTGGAAAGCAAAATTTACTGTACTCCTCCGGCATCGCTGGAAGATTTACGGCAACGAATCACAAATGAATGTCGCCAAATCACACCAGAAATGCTTCACAATATTCAAGAACGTTTCCAGCAGAATCTATATCATTGCATGGAAGCATGAAGCATGGAGGTGCCCATTTTGAGCATATACTAACATGAAAATAAAGTAAATAACTTCAACTCTAAATTGAATATGGTTCGTTCACATTAACAAAAAAATGTACACCGTTGTTTAGAGAATTCCAAGATATTTCAAACGATGTGCGACTCGCCCCCAGTTTCCTATTAAAATTCCAAGGGTTGTTCACCCCTCTGCTCCGGGATTGAAGTGACGACGCTGTAAATGGGGAAAAACTGTCTCCCTCCCAATAAAAATCGACTTGTCTGACTGAGCGTTTTTTAGGATTTGCAAAATTAGTACCCAAAACCTCCATGTCAAGTTTTCGATGGCCCACCCTGTATATTTGCAATCTTTACACAATCAAATCACGATTCCCTTCAATGAAATGATTTTCTTTTATTGGGTCGGAAAATTTTTGACGCAGCTAATTATAGAAGGATTATATGAAGGACTTTCTTCGACAGATTTCATACTATACCAATTCTTTGAACTTGTCTGCGACGTATCCAAAAAACACGTCATTATACAACACGCAACACATTGTGCAAAAACGCAACACGTGTTTCGCTGTACAATGGCTTCTGGTGTCTACTAACTATATTCTATATAATCAATGCTCAATATACCCAATTCTATATTGACGTACTTACATTTCAATTACCTAATGTTTACCTAAGTTTGTAATGAATTAAATCACCTGAGCTTATGTCCCAGTTTTCACATTTGAAAAAATATTTAGCAACGGGGAGTTATTAAATTCTAATCGATCATTCAGTTTCAGTTTCAAACTCATCTCTTCTGAATGTAGTACGTCGTATTCATGACAGAACTCATGTCCTTCTGCTGAAAGGTGGTTTGCAAATGTGGAATTGGTCTTACTATTTACAAAATTACGTAAATGTTTTTGATTCTTTGGGAAAATGTTCTTCCTGTTTGGCCAATATACAGTTTTGGGCAAGAGGCCACAAGTCAGCTTATATACTCCTGATCTATCCGACACCGAAGTTTTGTCTTTATTGTCTTTAATAAATTTACTTGGACAATTATTCGTTCTGTAAGCTACGTTCATGCATTATTTCTTCGAAAAAACGAGCAATGTTATTGGTTATCTGTGATAGTTGTTTCTTATTATAATCCACTCGAATTATTAAATAATATTTCGAAAAATTCTGAGTGGGCTATATTCCACATAATTTTTGTTGATTATGTCACTGTTATTGTCACATTACACTTGGAGACAAATTATTTCAATAATATGCACTGATTTGTGTATATTTTTCTTTCTAGATGAGCTCTAATATTTTTGGGAAAGAAAGTTTTCGGCTTTCTACTACTCCATCTTGATACAAAAAAAAAGGATGAGGGAATCTTCCAAAGGAAGGAAGGAACTAATCAATTTAAAAATAAGTAACTCTATACATGGATGTGTAGATCATGCAAAGAAGTAACTTTCAGACACAAACTGAAAGAAATAGTTTGTATTTCAAACATTCGTTGTGGAATAAAAATCAGATATCATCCACATGAGTTCTACTTTAAATGAATGGTAACAAATTGCACTTACATGGAACACTGTCATCCTCAGTGGTATACATCGATGTTTCGCCTTAAGACACTTGCCCTAAGGCTCTTCAGTACCAAATTGGATAACATTATAGAAAATACACACAATTCATTCATGCATTACGATTTTGAAAGTCACGGAATAAGCTTGATCTGCTTATGTCATCGATGATATCGTAATGACATTCACTCTTCTATTTGATTCAATTCCAGCCAAGAGGAATTTTATTTGAATTGAAGGGGTTATATTTTTAGGAGTGATTAATTTTTGGAAAAGAAAGTTTTTGGCTTTCTACTACTCCATCCTTCCTTCCTTCCTTCCTTCCTTCCTTTTTTTTGCATCAAGATGGAGTAGTAGAAAGCCAAAAACTTTCTTTCCCAAAAATTAATCACTCCTAAAAATATAACCCCTTCAATTCAGCTCTAATATGTTGTAACAATACCCTCTCCAACTCTGTATTTGAAAATTCTAGCTTTTACACTTCAAGCACTACTTTTTTGATGTAGCTGACACTGACACTTGCCTTTTTCTTATTGAGACTATGTGTGTTTCAGTTTATAATTCAGTTATTGCTGGTAGATATATAGACTTCACTATGCGACATAGAAAAACAAACTTGACAGTTCAGTGCACCCTTAAAAATTTCTGTTACAATTCACAGTTGTCAACTAATTTTTCAAAGGGTATATTATTTTAGATTATGCTCTTTCAGACTTGTGCTGCATCAGTTATCATCATAAACTCACCCAAGCTTCGTCACAAGAATATGATGTTGCATTCACAGCTCCAACTACGGACTCATTTACAGGATGGAAGATCATCTTCATTGCGGTTAAGGGGTTCGTAGCTGGATCGGTCGTAAACGCAAAAAATCTGAAAACAAACTTTAGGGTAAATACACGTACAAGTAATTTATTTGCACAATTTTATGAAATTGGGTACTATTAAAGAGTAAAAAAAAATGGGCGAAAGAAAGTTACTGAAAAAGTATATATGAAAAGTGACAAAATAATACAAGAGAGCACTGACAAGTCGTTATTGACTTGGGAGGAAAAAATGCAATGTCGGCATATCCTTCCAATTTCTGTATAAGAAGTTCATGCTTCACGGTGACAAACTAGAAATCAGACGGAAAATAGCCTAAGTCATTTTTCTTAGTAAATTGTTGAACAATAAAATCGATTCAGAATATTATTTGGGAAAGATACCGTTCAAGGTAAATGTTTATTCCATGCGCAATGGTGATTTATTCAAGTTGTCTCTAGCAAGTAGTAGTCATTTCTTTAACGCTCTAATAATTATAATAATAATCTTCATTTTCTTTTTGACAAACAGCAATACATCGAATCAACCGTTTTTGAGAAACGAATACATTATTAAAATGTGTGGAAGATCCCCAAAAGCTTAATCCATATCTAAGGCGCGATTCGGCATGTGCGTGATACAATATAATTAATTGTTTTTCCGTCAAAACTGATCTCAGATTCCGTAGCAAATAGTTTACCGAATTCATTTTTGAAATAACCATATGGCATTGCTTTTTCCAATCTAGGTTTTCATCTATGAGCAGTCCAAGAAATTTTACATATGGGACAATATCTATCTGATTATCATTGATATTTAAATTAATTTGGTCAGTTTGCTTATTTCCATTACGGAAACGTACACAATTTGTTTCATCTGCATTTAGGAAGAGATAGTTCACAGAGAACCATACATGTAAATTATGGAGGGCATTATTACATTGTTGCTCGAGTAACACGAGTAACAACAATATCACGTATGCAACAAATATACAATTCCACTTTTTCCTCTGTTGACCTATTTCACTTACCCCATTCAAAAGTAAGATTTTCTAGTAGAAACATACTATGCACTAGGTAGGGTAACTGTATTTTCATTTCTATTTGTAAATAATTTTGATCTAGCTCAACTCTTTGAATGTAATGATGAATCTTGTGATTTATGTGCGACTCCATTATTGGAACTTTTGTTCTGTTGAGTTGCCAAAGCTGTAAATAAATACGCGACGAACTGTGGCTACTTATCGTTTTGAGGTTCAACTCAGTACACCTCTAAATTCATTGTTTAAGAACTCTTTCATTTTTGGAGAACTACGTATATGTGGAAAAACGTTCTCAAGAAACAAAACTGCCTTCTCAGCTACATACTCCATCATAATTACCCAGAATATACAGTGCATTCCATTTAAAACTAGCCACCCTGAATAACTTCTTTTGGTACAATGATTTTCAGGAAAAGTAAAAAAAAACGTCAATAATAGTATACAGGCGGACACATTTTGACATATTCACATTTGATGTTACTTTCCCTATCGCACCTAAAATTCCCGTCCAAACAATCAGTTTTTGAGGTTGTTGGGTATGTAATAAACGTTCATTCATTCATCCGAAAAACAAATTTCATACAGGAAATTATGATGCAAATTGATCCGTTCAGTGAGACTTTCACAAAACTCGATATATCTTTCGAAATCATGTTCGTTCAATTCATGACCTAGTCTAATCTTATATGAATTCTGAAAACATTTGCACGACTGATTCCTGATTCTCGGAATAAGAGATTGCGAATTTTCCATTAGTCCAACGTGCCCCAAAAAATGCAGTACAAATAGCTTCATCGTTGACAACTCCTGAACGGTTATGCTTTTTATCGTTAACAGATCCAGTTTCCATTTCTTCAATAATTCAGAAACGTATTTGTGTTGTACATTGGATGTGTTGGATGATTATCATTGAACATATGGGCTGCAGCTCTAGCACTATTTCCATTCTGATAGTACAAACTCACTATTCCAATCCGTTCTCGAAGCGTATAAACCATTGCTTCTCAAGAATTCACAAAAACAGAAACACCAATTGTGAGTTCACCTGGTAGATAATCGTTATTGTAGAATAAGACAAATACTAAATGAAGAGAATATCTAATTCAAACTTAACTAGTCAAAATAATACTTTTTTGAAGTATACTTTACAAAAACAACTATGAAACCTAGGTATTTATAACAGATTGTACAGAAGTTCATTCATGGTGGCTCATTTTTAGCTTCCAAGCTATGAGCTTTAGACCATAATGTATTGTACTTTGTTGAAATCTGTTCATTATGAAACATCTAATAATGCAAAACAATTGATCCATTTAAAGAAAATGGTGACATGCTATCGCACGATAGGCAAAGGTGTTTTTTAATGCTTCCTGATAATCATTGTTCCAAAAGTTATTCAGGGTGGATCGTTTTCAACTCAAATAATTTGTAGCTCCCGAACCATAAGCTTCAGATCACATGTTTTATACTTTGTTGAAATCTGCTCATCATGGAGCATCTGATAATGCGAAAAAAGATAGGGTGTGGCTTCATTTTTGAATAACAAAGACATTAAAACTGCATTTGGAACACGTAATCCGTTGGCAGAGTTAGTCAAAAATAATGAAGAATAATGAATCAGGAGTATATAGATTGAATTGTGGAATTTGTGCTAAGGTATATATTGGTCAAACGGGCAGAACATTCAGGAGTTGCATTCAGAAACATCATATGACCTATGTAAATACGAAAACAATTTCAACATCAAATCGTCTTCCAGAAAAAAACATATATTTAACCGAGATTTCGGAATTTTGCACAAAAAAAAATCAAGATTTGAAGCCAAATCATTTGAAAATTTTTGGAAATCAATAAACTTAAATATTCAAACATTTTACTGAATAACCAACGGGATTTAAATAGATCACCATTACTGAATTTGTTTATGGATGTACCTGAGGTATATAAAAGTTGAGTAGATGTAGAAATAATGTATACTCTAGGTCAAGGCTGCTCAACCTTTTTAACAGTGGGCTAAACGGTGGATTCAGACTTCACGACGGGCCACTGACAATTCCTATTTCAGTTACTCTCAAGACATGCGCAAGAAAAACCCAATATTAAAAAGTAAAATTAAATTTTTGTTTATTAGGTAATATTATAAACAAACAAAGAGTATCTTACGCTGAAATTCAGCAGCTAAATAAAGAAAGAAAATTGAACTTAAGTATGTATCTTCTCAAATATAAATCTAGGGTACCTAAGTCGTTGTTACAATCAATGTGATTTCTGCCATTGTTTGTCTCTTAATAATTTTCTTATGTTAGGCGACAAATCCGATCTTAATAGTAACAAGTCACAAGGTCTGAAAATACCTTTCCACACACTTATGTTGATCCAAAACTACTTGAAAATTGTAACGCCAGGTCAGTTATTTCTGGAAATTCTGCTTTTGGCACCAATTTCCAGAAATCTGCAAAATCTTCTGAAGAATTTTGTGCTTTCGAAGACAATTTGTTGGCAAAAAGGTTTTTTAACGTATCGTGATTTTGCAGTTCAACGAGTTCCTACTGCGGCAGGAAATTTGGTGGGATTTTTCAATTTGGTGCGTATTTCAAAACTTACTTGCGCGGGCCATTTAAAATTCTTTCGTGGGCCACATTGTGGCTCGCGGGCCTGGGATTGAGCACCCTTGCTCTAGGTAATTAGAATTGAGTATGAACCAAGCAGGTAGCTCTTGCTAGTGATTACATGGGGTATATATAAGTTAGAATGAGCAATTAGTTTTCATTATGTTATTTACCACGAAAAGGCGAAGTAGGTATGTCGTGATATTATTTTCGGAAATAAAGTTAGTGAAGATCAAATAGTTTTCGATGCAGCTCTAGCATGCTCAGATAAAATTGTAAAATTGCTTTACGATCTGGATACATTTCACGCAGTAATCTTTATAAATTTCTGTTGAGTTCGCATCAATCATAATTGAAATTTCAATCCCCTCTTTCAGATAAAGGCATTGAATTTTTTTATAAGATCACTATCGATTAGATTAGAAGTACTCACGTTGAAGCGACAACAATGCATAATTGAACTCTTCAACAAATGGGATAAAAAATATATTCGAAAAATAAACGATTCATCGTTTTGCCTCCGACTATAGTCGAGGGCAGAGATCACTACTGAAAGTGGTTGGATACAATGTTATCGTATTTTTCCTCAGTTTATTCAAGTAGTTGTAACAACAAAACGCGGTTTTTCATTTCATTTTTTAATACATTTATTCTCTCTCATTTTGTACCCTGCACCAATTGGTAGCAACTCTTGATACATTTTTATGATTAGCTAATTGAAAAAAAGACAATGGGATGGTTTCGTTTGGAAAATATACAGTGCGGTCCTGAAGTAACTGATTAATTAATTTTCTACGTTGAATATAATTATTCAACTGCCCCATCAACTCCCTAAAAGCTATAGCTACCCTTATGAAAATTTTCAATAGAAAGAGGTAGCGTGTAATATCTCATTTGAAAGGCTTTTCAATTCTCTATTCAGCCATATGGTATTTTTTTATTTTTGAAATGAGATACTCAAGAAAAATTCAATTTTATATAATACAAACAGATCTTCCTCGGGACAAATACCTATCACGATTCACTAGTCTATCAGTTATTTTGTTATCAAGAAGTAGCATCGGATGTTTTTGTGACATTTGGATTCGATGTTTCCCTAAAAATATTCTTTTTTCCGAAAAGGCAACAATTGCCTTACATGGAACGGTGAACAAGCAAAATTGTTGGTATTGGAGTTCGCAAAATCCGCACTGGATGAGTGAATGCTACACTCAGTACCCTATTTAAGTGAACGTTTGGGCTAACATACTGAAAAACACAATAATTGGTCCATATTTTTTTGAGGGGACAGTAACCGGGGCCAGTTACTTGGATTTTCCAGTGGGGGATAGTCTACACAACTCTGTATAATTTTTGTATTGAAGAAATTCAATGACAAGGCTAGTTCTGGTCTTATTATTTAAAAAAATTCTAGCGCCTATAAATGGATTGAATTTAAAAAAAAACGAACACTTCCATTATTATAATACTCGAATATATATGTGTACAGGTTATCGGTTATTCAGACATTTTGTAGTTGTAATTTTGAAAAACTTCTTCACAACTTCAACTACTATCTACGTTTGAAATATGAAAATATATTTTACTATTCCTCAACTCCCTATTTTGTAGTAGAAGTATTAAAAATGAACTCTTGTATCTATCATATTTTTCTCGACCAATTAATTTTGTAGGTACTAGAATTATTGAATAGTGAAGAAAAAAGAAATGAAACTTTTTTTACCACTTTCATTTGTAACTAACGTTACTGCAGTCTCGTCCTATGCAGACATTTTCAAACTTAAACAATAAACTTGTATTGGATATAGATATCAGAAGGATTGAAGAATTCTGGATCAGCTAAAGGAATGTTTTTGGAATCTCAAGTATAGATTGATTAATACGAATGGACGGGCACGAAAGTGTTTATTTGAGGTATAATGAGACATTCGACATAGGTAGGAAAGGTCATAATAGCGGGTAAGTCCCAAGATAAGGGACACAAGGAACAGCTGAAGAATTGAAAATCTAGCTATTTGTTGCTTACAATATCTACGTGGAAAAAGGCCTAAATATACAAGTTGCTTTGGTAAAGATATTCAGGAATATTGAATCTCATGAGCATAAGTGGATTAGAAAAGACCCATTTATTAGAAGACCAACTGGAAAACCCCGATTGGGAGACACTTGAGAATAATGAAAACCTAAATAACTTGAACAAGATCAGTTAGCAATATCTCAAATAAAAATAATGCCATAAAACAATCTACTTTTTTGTACAAATTTTAGAGCTGGCAACTCTAGGATACATACTAAAAATTTAAGGTTCACAATTCAATTGAAAAATTTAATAATTTCGATAGCTAGATTTTGGTATCGAACTCAGATAAAAAAAATTAAAAGTATTGCAAGTGTTAATTCACTATAACTTTCTGCAATCCGGCCAAATCATTACATCAGAGACATACTGTGAGGAAGTCGACAAAATGTAACGAGAATAGCGTCAGCAGCAGCCAGCAATGGTCAATAGAAGAAGTTTGAACGTGCTCCACGACAACGTCTTTCCGCACGTTCAACAAATCACCGCCCGAAAATTAAACGATTTGAGCGTTGAAGTTCTCCTTCCCCCACTGTACTCCTCAGACCACTCGCCAATCGACTGATGAATAAATCGATTTGTGTTACGTTGGTAAAGTGCACTGATTCAAATGTTACTTACATCGATTGAATTGAATAAGTATTCACTGAGATATTACAGTTTAAAGTAAGTAGTACTTACTGTAGTGGAGTGCATTTACCGCTCGTTCCACATGCGCTGTCTAGAACCAAACCTCCTGTAGACGGCATTGCAACATCTTTGCATGATTCGAAAACTTTATTCATTGTCGATTCGTAAATGTTCAAATCGAAGTCGGTGAGGTACCCTGAAAAATATTTTTAAAATATATTTTTGTTGAATTTCATTTTATCTCCTTAATAGTTTTCAATGAATTCTGAGGTCATTTTCTAACCAAAACTGGTGTGGTCATTTCTTCTCACCTCAATGTAGGCTGTTATAAAAGTAAACCCTAATGAAGAGAAAAAAAAAAGAAAAAATACATTTCAGTTGGTTGACTGAAGAATACACATTCGTCATCAATCAAATAAACGATGATACTTTTCATCATCATGAACCAATTTTTTCTGAGAGATTCTCAAATTATTTTTCAAAACATAACTTTCAGAGTAAAATTCATATTATGAGGAATTTGAAATCAAGAGCAATTGACATTTTCAATTCTGAATTCCATAACAAAAATCTCCAATAAATTGACAATTACCTAGTAAAACATAATTTTCCTAGGCCCTTATTAGAAAAATAAGTAAAGAAAGAAGTTCATCTTTCCAAAATACAGTAGTGAAACCAAAATATCACAAAATTACATTTGCAGAAAATGTATCTGATAAACTTGGAATACTACTCAATACCGAACAAATAAAGTGGCCTTTTCAAAAGGGAATGCAGTTGGAAAGCAACAGCTTCGGCTGATACTCCGCCTTTTCACCATATACTGGAGATTTGTTTTTTGTTTTTGTTCCTGTATACTGTTTCATTTTACTTTTGTCTATTCCATTTGTATTTTTATGATGAATAAACACGTATCACTATTATTATTATATATATAGTGTGCAAGCTGTCACGAAGGCTATGTTGGTCAAACCGGATGGTATCTCAAAACACGAGTTTCAAAATACATGAGAGACTCTAAGAAACTGAATATAAAAATCCCACAGCCCTCGTTGAACATGAAAAAGAATATGGACACGTTTTTTATTTTGATCATCCACCAATTCTAGGTGTTCAACTACATTTATCCAAAAGACTTTCAAACGTAATGATATCTACATATCCTCAATGATAGTGAAGAGATGTTGATGGCCCTAATACTGCATATTTCAATTTAATAAGTGAAATACCTGAATAATTCACCCTTTTTTCATTATTTTTCTTTCTGTCATTAATTAAAAAACAAACACCACCTTATTAGAATCAGAGATAAAGCCATTCGTTTGTTTCATGTCGTTTTGTGTTGGTGTTATCTCGGAAATTTGGTTGTTGCAAAGTTCTTATTTATTTTTAATATGTATTTAATATGTCTGATGGTTTTTAGAATAGTAATATCATCAACACGAAGAAACTACTTTTCGGCTACTTTGCGGTGAGTAATTTAATTAAGAACTCATTATTTCTTGTAAAATTGAAACAATAATAATCGTATAAGTTTTGTGGGAGGTATGTTTATGAAAATTCATTGTTACAGAGCCCTGAAGAATAATTCAACTACAATCGAAACGTCGCCAAGATTAAGAAAAAATTGATCCTGTTACCAAACCAACCTTTTTTCAAAATACTTTTTCATGTAACATCCTTTTCTTCTACTGTTGAAAAAGGAAGACATCAACAAGGATTTCCACCAAACGGATTCGCTTGCGACTAGTTTAGTTTTCAAAAACCGAAAAAAACGTGTTCCACTTTCGAAAACCAACTGGAATTCCACCAATCAGACAAAAACTAGTCAGAGTCGCGTTTTTGATTTTGAACTATTTTGTATCGTTTCTATTACACGAACAGCAATTCAATTGCTATTCTTCAACCGTCCATTGCTTTTTTCCCTCGTGTTCTACAAAGGAAAATTCAATCTCAGACTTGTTTGAAATAAACAATACTACAACAAATCAATAAAAATAATCTGTTTACAAAAACACAGATAAAACATCGAAACCTTTTGATCTTTTCGCCTACTGACGGAATTATTGCCAAAAACAGTTGCCGGCGACAACACTTTCAAAATATTTCTTATTTTGACAACTCAAGATTTTGTTTTGTCGAGATCGATACAGTTGTTGTTTTGTTGTGGTTTGTCCGTTTGGTGGAAAACCGCCATAACAGTTAAGGTGTGTGTTTAAATAAGAGAGTGCTTCTGTTTCAGTGATAACTTGAATATAGTGGATCGAAGATATGAGTCGTTCGTAATTTTCCAGATTTTCAGACTAATTGAAGTCGTTTGACAGTCCACATGGTTTATTGAAAAGTTTCGATGCTTTGAATTTTTTACGCTACACAAATAGTTGTTTTTACAACCAATATACTGTGGGCATTTCACAGTGAGTAAAGTTAATATGAAAATTATAAATTTTAAGCTCAGCTTGGGAATGGCTTTGTCCAATGGTTCGCATAAGGAAATATTCAAACTGCCATATTTTGACATGGGGTTTTCGTTATTAATGAATAACATAAATACCATATCTGATGCATTGAAAAGTTCAATTTGTATATATCTCATGTTAAAATCAACTGCTGGATTTTTCAGAAACATACACAGTGTGATGAAATAATCATGACAATGTTCCTCACTAATCTGGAACAACTATAGTCTATCCATTCCCAATTGGAACGGCAATTAAAATAAGAGTACAGTCATAAACATTTCTTGCTTGTGGCCCCTAGTCGCCCAGATAGTTAGTAAACGTGCTATCAGAAGTTGTTGAGAAATAAAGGCTCGGCTAGCTGGACTGGCTGAATACTAATTTTTTGTCTGTTTTACAATATTTCTTTATTAGTGCCGTGTGTTCGTGGGGTTAGGTGAGGTAGTAAGTGGTTTTGCGAACCGATTTTTGAAAACTTTTTCTAGAGATCAATTACCCTAACACCAAACTGTCAACAATAGATTAAAAATCGGACAAATTAATTTGCAGGTAGTGGTTCCACTAGTTAATAACCGAAAAATCAATTAGGATAATCATCATTTAACAAACAAAGTCCACATCGGACCAAAAAACTTTAGGTATATAAACAGCTAACCCTTGTCTTCAGATTCAGAATCAATTTTCTTCTCCTGAAGATGCTAACCTTGTTAGCGAAACGCGCGTCGAGTGCAAAAATATCAGTTTGGTGTAGGGGTAATTGATCTCTAGAAAACGTTTTCAACTCTTACACCAAAGGTTCCAATCTCTTTGTTTGAACCGATTTTTGTGAAAATCTTAGTGTTTTTGGGTACTTTCATCAATATGGCTTTCTGGAGACTTTTTGAAATAAATGATAACATTACGTGTGAGGAATATGTGTCAATCGACAGGGATCCGGAATTTGAAAATAAAGACTTACATGTTCAAGTTCAGCGAGTAATTTTAAATATTAATGAATGCTTGAAGAAGAAAAACTGTCACACTTCACAGAATGCTATTGTGAATAGAATATGCGAGTTAACGAAACTATCTCGTTCGACAGTTCTTCGAGTCATAAAAATAGGGGATGTCATTGACCATGCAATGAAACGAAAACAAAGGAATAAAAAATTCGCAAACGTTGATGGTGCTACAAAAGATGTGATTCGGCGAACAATTTATGGTATATACCAAAAAAATGAAATGCCAACCTTGGAAATGATTCGGTATAAATTACTCGACTATCCCGAAATTTGAATATTTAACAGTCCAGTATAGTTGATACTTGTTTTAGATTGGAGCAGAACATTGTGATGCACAGCATACACAGCCCTGTATAGATTTCTAATCACTCCAGTAGTTGTTTCCGATATAAGAAAGAATTCAATTGTTGCAGTTGTTGAATTCGAAAATAATTCGCTTACGTTGAAGGACTGCTAGAATTTCCGGATTTGTCTGGTAATTCTTTAAAAAAATATTTACAAAATAGTACTATGAAACACGTTTTTATTTGGGAATTGGCAGTTGTTTGAATGATTTTACGAGATCTTCATTTCACGAAATCTTGCTGCTATACTATTATTACCATCACTTCCAATCGAAACACTCAAAAAGTTGGGATATATGCGCTTGACTCGTTAGGCTTTCCATCCAATAATAATTTTGTATCCAAATCAAATAAATTGTGAATTTTTGACGTCGAGCCTTCTGTTATTCTTGAAATAGTTTCAGTAGGTTATTGAATTGTTCTTCATTCATTTTGATTTGAAAGTGGAAAAAATATATTCTTATAGTTTGGCAAGTATCTTTCAGGTTTTCAGGATTTCAATTGAATTTCTTGCTTAATTCGATTTTGAACAATTTCACACTGAATATCTGGAGAAAGTGTTCGTTAAACATTGCTACCGAACATGAATGCAGAAAAAATTAGAGAAAACGTGTGAACGACAGAATGAAACGATAAAAAACTGCAAAAATAACTTACGTCGAGGCCAATTTTTGGTAGACGGCTTGAAGTTATAATGTGTCACGAATTCTGATTGGTTAGGATTACAAGATATATCGCAAAAAAGACTGTATACATTTTTGGCACACGACGGGCATCTTTTGAAAGGAGTCGATTTGGCAAAACCACCTGCGATTCCGATTATTTGGGTGGGGTCACAGCATAGATCTCCAGTTTCTGAAAGCAAATGTTTACATTAGTAATAAGAGCGATAGCAAATCGTTAAATATTATAAGACAAAGTTCCCTTCCGAAAAATAAGAAGAAATCAAATGCTACCAAACGGATTTTCAAACTATTTTTAGCAATGTTCTTCTTTTATAGATCTTCAAAAATGACCGAAATGACATCTGCTGGTCTTTCAAAAATAACTCACCATACTCATTCCAATGTTTGAAATAATATTTACATATAGTATAATAACGGATGATTAATACGTTAAATACAGTGAGCATTCCATGCAGATTGTATTTACCATTTCCATCCTACAATTTTTGAAACTTAAGAGGTGACACAAAACCATAAGTATTACGCGACAAAATACTTTCAAACGACCTCACAAGCCGATGCGAAAAGGGTGATCAGGAAATGTTGCAATTGTATTGGCTTTATCCAAGTAGTGAATACTTTTCAACGTTAATTGAAATGTCTCATTAGAGACATCGTTTATGAAACTAAATTAGTATTACTTTTCTGAACACGACTTCTTGGGTACATTAGTTTGTATGCTGAGTAGTCTTTCAGGTCAGATAGTAAGAATACGGCTCTGCCAAACTCTTAAAACCTGATTTGGTCTCCAGCGGGGCAGGCACAAAATATGTGATCCGCTGTTTCATCATTTTCCAAACAGAAGCGACACACACTGTCTTCCAACAGTCCGAGTCTCTGCATATGATGATTCAAATGACAGTGACCTGTGCGGAGGCCTCTTAGACATCGTAGTTCATCTCTACTATAATCCAACAACTGTTTGGGGTGAATAAACGCAATAAATCTTCTTTACATCCAGGTGTTCAATCTTTGTTTGACAAAGCCTGAAGCGATGCCAAATCATGGCCATGAGGCTGCTGACTACAGCAGGTCTGTCCTGTGTCTATGACAGAAAACATCTGCACCAGAACCTGAAGGTGTTTTTATCCACCTGTGAACCAACAACTATCTACTCCTAATATTTCCTTCTCCCGGGGGATCCAGTCCTCTCTACTCGGGAACAGTACTTTATAAGGCAGTTCGTAGTTGGCAGTTGGAGGCATAAAGTCAGAGGTCATTTCCAGAATGCTGTGACTTCCAGTGTCAACCAACAGTTTGTTGCACTCTGTTTGTTGCAGTCCATCTTACCTCTCTCTCCAGAAAAATGTGGAGAAAAGGTAGATTTAGAAGGATCTCCATGGCCGCTGACGATGTGGTACTGATGGCCAGACAAGGCTGTTTCTATAAGCCAGAGAGCTTCGCCTGAGCCGTTTTCTGTAAAGCCTTCGTTCATCAGGTAGTTACACCATAAGTGATCACCTAAATCCAATAGATTTGTTTGGGACCTAAACCCCAAGTTTTACCACAAATCCTTCGACATGTCCATAGGGACAAGCTGTTTTTGTGTGAAACTTTTCCAAGTGAGCGTTCCAGGTGAGTTTTTCATCAATGACAATGCCAAGATATTTCACCTCCGTTCCAAATGGAATGACCTCACCATTGAGGAAAAGTGTCGTAGAATCATCCAATTTTCTTCTCCTGGTGAAAGGGATTATCACAGTTCTGCTGGAGTTAACAGACATCTGCTCCTTTAGTCACCAACTGTGAACAACTTACATCGTGCTTTGGAGGATACTACAAGCTACTCTTCCCGACGTGGACCTCGCCAAGATGACAAGGTCGTCTGCATAAGCGTGCAGATCTAATTTTTTTTTGTCGAGGGCATCAAGCAGAATATCCATCAGGAGCGACCACAGAAGGGGAGATAGTACCTCACCTTAAGAACAGCCTCTGGGTACCCTGAACCTAATGGCCTCGATTTTGAAGAGTCGTAGTTGCAGTTCTATTTACCAGCGTGGCATAGATCCAGCCAGTTATGGTCGATTCTGATCTTCTCCTAGCCAGAGATGATCCTATAGATTTAGGTAGTTCATTGTCAAATCGATAAATCATATTCTGCATTTGATACTGTATCTCCGCTAATTAAATAAACTACTATATGGTTTATAGTTATTCTAATGAACAGTATGACAGGTTCAGAAAAGAAAGACAGTGCCTAAATGATTCATTGCTGATTGTATTCATGAGGAACACTCTGTTCTCTCTCTAATATGGAATTTTCTGGAGAGCTTTGAAAAAATCAAATTCTTCTTAAACCATAATTTTTGAGATCATATGCAGAAATTCTGAAAGTGATTTTACAGCAAGCCCTTCCTTGAATCGTGAAATGCATCTTTTGTTTTTTTGTGACTGTGTAGGTATATATATGTTTTGTGAGGTACTACATACCAGTGAACCTTTCCACTAGCGATTCTATAGGCTATTGCACAAGCATAAAGCCCTATATATCCGACATTACTGTTATGACACGTATTGGCTGATTAAAAATTTTACCAACTTTTGGGTTGCAGTTCTCTCATTGCTAAAATATATTTTAACCTCTTCTTTCGGAGTTTCCAATCTATCATCTGTTATCAATATTACTGGAGTTTTTTCCCAACACCAAATCGTTATTTTTAACACCTCGACACGTGTTTCGATCACCAAGTGATCATCTTCAAAGAGGAAGATTAAAACTGAGTTGAGTTTCAATCTTCCTCTTTGAAGATGATCACTTGGTGATCAAAACACGTGTCGAGGTGTTGAAAATAACGATTTGGTCTTGGGAAAGAACTCCAGTAATATTCATTACTACACCAAAGGTTCCAAACAGTGCATCATAAGTATTTGTTATCAACACAGAATGGTTTCTTCTCAGCCTTGTTTTAGATGCATTCAGCCCATCTTCTTCAGTTGGTGAATGCTCCTCTTCCTATATTCTGAAACAGGGGTCTCCAAACTTTGAAGCCTTCCGGCCATAATGATTTATTCAGTTTATTCCAAGGGCCAATTTTTGCCCTTAACTATATTTCTAGACTAGGATAGTCGCAATGTGCGTGACCTAAGCAAACTTACGCTTTTTTTGCATTTCAATTATTATTGTGTATTGTGACACTTAACGACATCTAGTGGCGTGTAGTGGTACTATGTACTATCTTTTTCAGCTACACGCTAGGTGGCATTAGGAGTAATTAAATATTTGGAATTACCGCGTTGGTTCGAGAAAGTTCTGGTTCTAGCTAGTGTATTCCGATCACCTCGAGATCGGAATGCAGAACGTTCCAAGAAAAATGGAACTTTCAGTATTTTGTGAGTCCAGTTACAAGGCGCTATGTTTAATTTGTAATGAAACCATAGCTGTTTTCAAAAACTATAACATTAAACGACACTATGAATCGAAACATCTTCAAAGTTACTCCAAGTATACAGGAAGTTTGCGGAAGGAAAAATTTGAAGCTTTGAAACGCGGACTCATATCGCAGCAATCTTTGTTTACCAAAGCGAATACTGAACAAGAGTCTGCAACTCGCGCCAGCTTTCGTGTTGCTTTTGAAATCGGAAAACGTGGCAAACCATTCACCGATGGAGAAATGATAAAAGAATGCTTGATTGCAGTAGCCGAAGAAATATGCCCCGAAAAGGTAAAGGTATTTAAAAGTGTCAGTTTGTCAGCAAACACCGTGGCTCGGAGGGTGCAAGACATCGCAGAAAATATATCATCTCTACTGTCTGACAAAAATGGACATCATGAGTGGTAACAAATATCAAAATTCATCTTTGTTGGAATTTTATAAGAGTCTTCCACTGGAACAATTTGATAATTTGCATAAATTTGCTCGTGGGTTGTTTTCTGTTTTTGGTACTACTTACTTGTGTGAGAAAACGTTTTCCAAGATGAAGTACACAAAGAATGTTTACAGATCTCAATTAACCGATGAGCATCTAGAATCTCTTTTGATAATTGGTACAAGTAAAATTGATCCACAACTACAAAGTATTGTCGGTGGAAAATCACAATTACATAAATCTCATTAGTGTTTTTGTTTTACTGTGATTCATTTCAATTATTTGTTAGTTATTAATATGCTTAAACTTAGATACTTAAGTTAAGTTTTCTTTGTCATCATTTCTGTCTTAAGTTTTACCTTGCAAGTAAATAAAACCGAGTAATTATCATTCTGTTTTCTTCTTCAACTTATCACAGCAATAGTGACAACGATTAGGTAATCATTGGCTGTCGCGGGCCAGATTCATGACAGTAAATCATTGGCTGTCGCGGGCCGGATTGATGACACTGGCGGGCCGGATTTGGCCCGCGGGCCGTAGTTTGGAGACCCCTGTTCTAAAAACTTGATCGCTTCCAGCAATCCATCTGCAGTACCCTATATTTTCGCAATAGGAACAACACCTTTCCATATTACTTGCTTCACTTAGGAAGTTTTTGTGTAGACTAACCGACGTTTTCCTCCTACGTTGATTTTTATTTATCGTTAGGTGTCTTTCTAGCCTCATTTAGGTATCCTTTGACCAGTCGTTGAAAAAATGTTCTTCAATCTGGTCGACAAACTCATTTGGGATTTGAGGATACATCGATCAGTTTCTCGATATCTACTCAAAATTTCTGCAAGATCTTCTGCTTCAAGTGTTGTTGTGCATAATACATTTTGGGTGCTCTTCGGAATGTTATTAAGTATTTTCAATGCCTGACCTCTCATTGCACTAGTGTATGGTCATGAAGACTGCCTAACGAAAGTAGGAGACTTAAGGGTTCAACCTGGTGAATATTTTGTTGCTTTTAGTGAGGTTATGCTCATTGAGACTAGTATAGATTTCTCAGATGAATAAGGCTGTTGGTCTAGTAGGTATGCTTGTATTATTTGCAACAAGTTAGGGGTACTGCTAGAATAAAATATTTGGAACATTTTTTCCTTGATCTTATTGATTGTTCCAAAATGAAGATTGATGAGATGGGTTCTAGATTGGACGCTGGGACCTACTCCCGCTTAAATTTTTTTTGGGATTCATCAATATTTTAGTGGTGAGTGATTTGACCTGTGTGAGGGAGACAATAAACCACCATGATGTAAGTTCATGAGAAGTCAATTCAATTTTGAATACTAGCAGGTTTCTTCAAGAATTTGGAAAGCTCGATTGTGATGTTTTCCCAAAAGTTGCTCTGAAATTAATTTTGATGCGGAGTGAAATGGTGAATGAAATCTTCAACTTGTGTTTCTTTTCTTTGTGGAATCCATGAATTGGGTGATGAAGGGATTTGAAGCAATCCGGACCCGGACAACTAGATTCAATTCAAAGCAGTGGAAACAAATTTAAATATAACGGAATACTTACTTCCATTTTCGTCAAGTAAATGAGGACAATATTCTTTCAAAGCAGATATACCCTCTCCATATTTAGGATCTGACTCAGCAAACGGTTTCGGATCTGGTGGTATATCAAAATATGGAATACAGTACTGATCAAGTCCTTTGTCATCGACATTGCAAACGCCGTAAAAGCTGCATTTCGCATTGAAATTGAGAGGAAAAGTGGACAGTAGAAAAAATAAAACGACGGCATTTTCTGCAAAAAAAAATCATAAATATACTAAGGGTTAAACTTACAGGTAAATTGAAAATTTCAAGTACCTGAAGTATTTAGAGAAACTGAGAGTAATTATGATTTTGAAACCATTTAAGAAAAATGTATAAAACTGCCACGAAGTGGTGCCACTTTGTGGCAGTTTGATATAGCTCAAATTAAGGAAAATGAATTAAAAAACTTTCCACAACGTAAACTTCCGAATGTCTCGAATCATTATCTATCTACTTATCTATACTTCATAAATGCGTAAGTAACTTAACACTCACTCATTCATCTCTGTTTCTCCGTACTGGTGAGTCCTAGGAAGCTGAAATTTCATGTATAGGTTCTTCTTAGATCTTATTTGCGCACTAACAAATGATTTTTGAATATTCCAACTGGGGAATATCCCTCCCCCGGGGATGAGAGGGCGCGTTTACATATGAAAATTACCTTTTCAGCACTGTTTCTCCGTGCCCCTATATTTTCGTAAGCTGAGCTTTTGCATGTAGGTTCGTCTTATGTTGTAGATATGCAATAAGAAAGGATTTTCAAATCATTGAATTGGGGCGCCAGCCGCGGGGGAAAAGGTGCGTTCATAAAATAAAGATACCTTTTCATCACTGTTCCACCGTACCGCTATATTTGCGGAGGCTGAAATTTTGTATGAAGGTTTGTTTTATGTTGTAGATCTGCAATAAGAAAGTATTTTCAAATATTCCAACTGCGGCACCAGGCGAGAGGGAAAAAGGCGCGTTTATAAAATAAAGTTACATTTTCATCACTGTTTCTCCATTTCCCTAAATTTTCGGTGAGTAAATTTATATTCAGTATCAGCATTGCACCCGTGTGGAGCCTGGGTGGATCGCAAGTAGAAATATAGGTATAAGAACATCAAAAGAGAAGTATCATCAATTGTTTTACAGTAGTAGAAATAGCCCTTTGTCAATCATAAAATTTTGCATATCGCTTTAGGTAATAGTACTGACACAAATACTGGGGAAATTTATGGAAAAAATAATGCATTTGTTAATCATTTTTTGACGATTGGGGTTTGTTTGTTATATAATTTATTGATCAGTTACCAACTACTCAATAGTATTTATCCCCTGAAGACGCTATGTTGGTTAGAGGCAGCAATTCTTCTAATGAATTTTTTGCGTTCTGCATTCTAGATTTTCATTAATATTATTCATAACATTTCAAATATTTTCGAACGAAGTTCCAACCTCCCTATGACAGGGTTTTACTTCACTTTTACTTCTTCCTCAAAAATAATAAGGGTGTTGTCAATTACTGAATTTTAAATTGAACATATTTGACATTGGGTTTTCTCATTGATTTATTTATGTAACAGCAGATATCACTGAACACACTTGCATCATAACAGTTCTCTTTTGTTTCATAGTTTCAACATAGACAAACAAACACACCATTGCAAACTGAATCACATGGCACCTGTCATTGTCAATTGTTTGTTTTCTCTGTCTTTGTTCTTCAACCACACGGCTTTTACCGGTAACGATTTTCAGTAAATTTTAATTCAATAATCTTCTTTATATTCAGTGAGAAGTCAACCTCTTTTAATGTAGTGACTTGTTTTATTGTGTTGGCATGTTTCAATTGTTCAAATGAAACATCCTCACTAACAGTAAGTTGAGCCCTTTTATAATAATTTTTTATTGTACTATCATCAAACAAATTTTGAAGTTTTTCTTGAAGATGATCATGAATTTTATCGAAATATTGGAATAGCTTGTGTCATAAGAATACACTTCCTTTCTACTGATCACCCAAAGATATTTTCCAAGTTTTGTTTTTAACTAGTCAGCAAAGGTTGTCCTTCAAATATAAAGGCCTATTCAAATTCGTTTCTGAACATGGGGATCTCGTAAACGATAAGAGATAGAGTATCGGTTAAATTGTGGCAAAGTTGCGTATTTTAGAGAGAGATATACAGGAAAAACAAAAAATTCCCAAATTATTTTTTTGCCTATATCTTCTTTATTCGCAGACATATTGAAAATATGTTCACAATTTGCTATTGGCACTTGATGTGGGCTATCAGAATATGTCCATGAATCTTTTGTACAGGGTGTCATCTGACTTGAGCCATCCCAAATAAGCCAAATAAGAACCTGTACCTATTGTTATGGTTTTTGGATCATCGACGTTCATTTCGTACTGAGAAATTAAATTTTATTTTATATTTCGGGATGTTTCGGTAATATTTTATTATAATTGGGTGAATTATTCCCTTTCAAATTACGGCCCTGGAAATTGGTTGACTGAGTTTAATAAAAACACAATAGCAACTTTTACGTTCCAACCTCCCTGCCATAGGGAGGTTGGAAGTTGGAACTTTGTTTGAAAATATTTGAAATGATATGAGTTATATTAATGAAAATCCGGAACGCAGAAAAATGCAGAAGAAGAATTGCTGACACTAACCAACATAGCATCTTCAGGGGATAAATGCTATTAAGTAGTTGGTAACTGATCAATAAATTACATAACAATCAAACCCAAATCGTCAAAAAATGATTAACAAATGCATTATTTTTTCCATAAAATTCCACAGTATTTGTGTCAGTACTATTACCTAAAGCGATATATATAATTTTATGATTGACAAAGGGCTATTTCTACTACTGTAAAACAATTGATGATACTTCTCTTTTGATGTTCTTATACCTATATTTCTACTTGCGATTATTTCAGTTTTTTGCTTAATAAAATTGTTATTTTTTCAGCTAATCTTTTTATTTTTTTACAGATTTCAAATCAATGTATATCATATTAGACAATGGAAGTCCGAACTGATGTTCAGCAACATGATCTCAATTTCCACTATAAAGGCTCAATTTGAAAGAACGCAGAAACATTAATATTTTGCAATGAACAGGGAATATAAAGCGAGTTATAATAAAAAACAAAGGTTCACAGTCCTGTCATACTTCTAATCGAACAAATGCCTTTTGATACATTCATACTCACTCTTAATTGCTAGCATCCTGACAACTTAACCAAATGATAACAACTCTACGTTTGTTAGCAACAATCAGCCATTCTGGGGATCAATGCTTGCTCGTAGTTCTCTTGATTTATCAGAATGTGATATCTTTACTGAATGATAAAATCGATGCATTCTCAAGTATGCAGACAGAAAAAAAGATGAGATATCCCAATGTAGCTAAACAAGATGTAACACTAGTGAATATAATTTCCAGCTAAAAGATGATTCACATGAAATTTTCATCTCATTTATGGTCGGTCGGTTCGACGTGGGTGCTTTGTCCACTCACTCGAATTGACCGCTGTGTTGGTCGGTGGTTCAAGCCCCAGGCTGAACGATCGATTTTCACTTGCTAGCGTCCAACCCGTCTTAGGAATCACACGTTAAAAGGAAAGACCTCGTTAATCCTTAGCTCGCACAAGTTTCGACTTCTGAGGGTTGTCGTTCGTAGGGTTGCGACAGCTGATTAACAGAAAAACAGATTTTAAACAGATTCATTTGAATTATCTAGTTGCCTGGAAAAAATCCAAAGTTTGTTGTTACACTCGACAAAATACGAAATAATGAAAACAAATTAGGCAGAATTTTGATTCAATGTTATCCCAACAGTCAGTTTACTTATTACCTTTATGAAGTTCAATTAGAATAATTAGGAAATGTTCATTTTTTTCATCAGAATAAACAAGTACTGCAAGAAAATCTTCAAGGCGCTTCAAAAGCAGTGCCTATGCGAAAGATTAAATTTGTTAATTTTTAATGAAAAAAAAATGTTTCGCATACACATTCCATCTATAATGATAACGAAACAATAAATTTGTGCAAAAAAACAAATATATTTTGATATGAGTAAACTCCTTCCCGAAATAAGGCCAGCTATAGTCTGTCCAGAAATGAGAGAAACTACAGCAGTGTATCTATACATATTAGTGCCATAGGCGTACTGAATTTAAATCATTTACTCTCAACGAATGGGATAGATGAATATACAAAATTTATTCTTGAAAAATCTCATTCACAACAAACAGAATAACAAATCAACTAGGGCAAATGTGGAAATATGTTCAATGGTAACCAAGACATTTTCCAACAAATGAGTATTTAGTTGAAGATGATTGAAAAAAAATATTTTTTTTAAGGCGGTATAATAATTAGACCGTTAACAGATACACTGCAACCATCAATAGGACCGACTTGGCTTTTTCCACAGAAAGAAAATATTACATTACTTTCTGTTGGGAGTTTGATGCCATAGTAGAGGGGTTGGTCTCAGTCTAAGTCTTAGTGATATTCTTCAGTTTACTTCGAGAGCGCGTTGAATAAAAAGCTTTACAACATGAAAGCTATAGTGGTTCGGGAACTGTCAGCATTAAATATAAATGGAAAAACAATTGTTATGAAAGTTTACAATTCTTCAAGAATACAATATCTGCCCGAAATAAAAAGTAGGGAGGAAGTAGTGCAAAAATGCGCGAGTATGACCGGTGCCGGTGTCAATAAATCGACAATTTGTTGAATTCTTAAGGAACTCAAGGAAAATAACAGCTTTTTGGAGCCGAAAGTATCCAACGGCAGAAAGTGTTTGGTTGTCGACGAAGAAGTCAAGAATACTTTTGGGGGAACGTACACTCTTTTTACATAAAAAACAAAATACCTACATTAAATACAATTGTGTCAGTTATTCGTGAAGACAGTTTTTTCCTTTTATAACAAGAACTAACTTATGGAATATATTACAAGAGCTGAACTTCACTTTTAAAAAACAAGATAGAAAGAACATGATGAAAGAAAAATCAGAGATTGTAGAGTGTATCATCTTTCCCTTCAA